ACTCGAATGTAATGCTGCACAGGTAACGCACAGGTGACGCACAAGTGCCGCAAGGGTGACGCATGAGCGGCACCCCCATGTCATTTATTTTTGGTAAAAAATCTCTGCTACATATGGTACAGAGTAAACTATGATAATTTCTATAGACCAAATAAAGCTCAATAAGACTTATTGATTGACCTTGCAGCTTCAAAGTATTGAAAATAAAAAAGAAGAGATTAAAAATGGTTAAGATAGATAACACACTTGAGTGATTATGGTTTCTCTTCATTAATTATAAATTTATTCGAACTTAAATAATTAATTATACACTGTACATACAAGGGAGTTGAGTTTTGTACAAATATTATTAATATACTTCTTGTTTGATATTTCATAATGGTCAATATGCTTGATCGATTATCTTTTTTCTTGAGTGAGCATTCACCACAAACAATATACTGTATTTGAATCTTCTTTAAGCGTTCCAATTTGGTTTTTGATTTTGATACCCATCTATGTCTGTATTAATGTATGATACAATCAATGCAATGCTGAAATTAACTAAAGTTTCACTAATTACAGATTTATAATTAATTAATTTACTATTTTTTTTGTTCATTTTCATTTGAAATATTCATTTGCTATAAAGTTGCCTAATTATACAGATTAACGCGCTTTTTCACAATCAAGAATGTGAAGCTAACACCTTGGTATTTTGCGCGCGACCGTATGTTCCCTCAAATAAATGAAGTAGAAAATGCAGGGCGAAAATCATAAAATAGCATATTTGGATGCTATTATAAGAATTCAGCGATGAATTCTCTAAAAAAGAATAGAAAATCAGCGACATGTATAAGCAACGAAGGAGGCAATGTTGATTACCTTTGACATATGAATAGCCTCATCATCGTCATAATCGTCATCGTCAATATTCATTTGCCTATTTTTCCGCTTCTTATTTTCCTCTCCCCAGAGGAGCTTTTGTCGTTCATCATATTCAAGCAATTCTTGCCTCCTAATTCTATCTCTTTCGGCGGCTTTATCTAGTTCTTCTCTTTTTCTACGCTGTTCCTCTTCCTGCAAAGAAATGCGGAGTCAATATAAATGTACACAATCCAGATATCGTGATCATATATACCTTTTGAATATTTAACTGTCTTTCCTTCTCTTCTTTAATTCTTTGTTCTTCTTCTAATCTTTTTTGACGTGCCTCTTCAACCTCCTTTGCTTTCTGATACTTTCCTTCGAGGGAAGTAATTACCGAAAGCCCAAAACTAATACGATGTTTAAGTAATTCCACATCAAATGCGCTACTTATCGAAGCATCATTTTGTATATATGTAAAAGTGCTGAGAAATTAAAATAAGTGTAAATTATCAAGCAGAAAAAAAAAAGAAGAAAAGGGATTTAATGTATACAACAGGTTATTAAATAAAAATATTTACGCATTAGCAGATTTGACATCTTCAATGGCACGAGTAATTACTGAAGAAGATAAACTTGAATCAAGTTCGCTTATCATCTGAGCCATCCCCTGTTGAATTAGGGCTATGTTATGGAGTATGAATTTACTAGTTGGATTAAGTTTAAGGGCCTATTTTTTGTATAATATATATAATTAGTAAAAAACGATCTCGTTTGGCTACAAAGACTAAAGAATGTCAGACATGCCTTCTCGGTCCATTGAAGGGCTTCTTCCATCATATCTATGTCTTTTTTGGCTTTAGCCAACACGTAATTTGATCGACCAAGCCACTCTAAAACTTGCACATCCTTATTGTGACACTTTTTGGAAACGCTCTCGTACTGTGGCAATTAAAGGAAATTTACAACCTAACTTGTATTGCAAATAATATCGAAAAAAATCAATGAAAAAAACCTACCGCTAGTATGGCAGAGGGATAATCATTCAGATGGCAACAAACATGTGCATAATTGATGTTAATTTCGGGTATAGGGTTCCTTTCTCGTAACTAGAAATAATATAAAAGAGAGGTAAATATTTCAAAATCAAAGAAATTCGAATTATATAAAGGTTGCGTCATATAACCTTCCAAAACATGTCTTTCGCCTCTCGAAGTCTCCCTGACTCCGCTAATGCCACTGTTATGCCATTAGCCGCCCATAAATTTCTCGCGTTTGTCTTTAAAGCTTTTTGAAAATATTCGACGGCCTTTTTATAGTTTGCTTCGCGCTGTTCCCTCATATTTTCTTGCCTAATTGATCGAGCCTTGCTAAGGAATAGACTTCCTAACGCAGTCAAAGCGACCGCATCATTTTTGTCATATTCGTTTAAAATGGCTTCGAGATATTTTCTAGATGTGCGAGTTTCCCCGTGTCTCAGGATATTGATGGCTCTTCTTTTACGAACTTCCAAATCTTTCTCATCTAATTCAAGAAGTTCATTATAAATTTCATTTGCTTTCTCATAATTATTATGAGATTCTTCGATCGCTGCAAGACGCAGGTGTGCTTGAGAGTAATAAAGGTGTGAATAACCAAAGAAATGCTTATAAAATAGAATCTCATTATGAAAATTAGTTTATCATAATACCTGGCGTATATGATGGATGTTCTGTTATTATTTCATTGTAAATGTTTTGCGCGTCTACGTAGTTATGTGATGCCTCTAGAGCACGCGCCAAGTTGTATCGTAGGGTAATTTCGACATCTCTTTCGGAATCGATATGAGATTTTGACGTATCAATGGAATTTTGATAATATGTTATTGCGTTCTCATAATCACCTGAAATTAACGTGAAAATTAGATACCAACAAACTAACTAATCTATCTCAAATTAAAAAAATTGTTTTTTTTTTAAGACAAAATACCAAGCTTGAAACATAAATTCCCCATTTTGTTGCACAATTCGAGTGGAACAGGTTCTTTGGCTTCCTCGTACATTTTCTGTGCCTTCTTCAGGGCTGACCAATACCAATTGCCAATTACCAATTAATTCAAAAATTATTAATAATTATTCTTAAATATGCTTACATTGAAGGCTTTTATATGCGTTCTTCCCTTCAGTTGATATTCCCTTTACTATGAAAATATCGGGGTTATCGTAATCTTTCTCAGAAATGGCTTTAGTGATCCTATCAAACTCTTCAAAAATCTTTTCACGTTTTACCGAATCGGTTTCATCAAGTGCAGAAATAGCATTTAAGATCGCAAGAATCTAAAATAATTGAGTATTAATCAAATTATATTCACCCACTGTTAACCTTTACACAATAGGTTATAGACTTGCCGTAATAACGTCTAAATTTGAATATTGCAACCGCAAACCTTCAAATATGACTTTTGCATCCTCATAATGTCCTATATAACATTGATATATAAATAAATAAGTGTTCAAAAAAAAAAAAAAAGTTCGCAATGAATAAATAAATACCATATCTCATCAACATTTGCCCATAACCATAACGAGCGAGTTTATGCTGATCATTGTTGAGAATGGCCTGAGCATAATGATAATGAGCTTTATCAAATTCTTCCTAGAGAAAAAATTTAGGTTAATTTCGAAATTTTCCTAATTTCGATTATTTTAAATAAATTGTAATACATGCCATGACATGATAAGCTCGACCTTGTTGATAATGGGCTTCAGCTAGAATTGGTTTGGTAGTGGCATTCCTTTCTGCACGCCGTGCGGCATGCAAAAGCTTTAATTAATAAAATGCGAGGATTAAGTAATTCGGAAAATTAATGCAAGAAACTTCGTAGGTGGTTAATTGTGGGTACCTTTTCAAAATCTCTTTGGAAATAAAATCCATGTGCCAGTAAAATCAATGCACTAGAATGATTTGGATTTAATTCGAGGGCTCTGTTCGCACGACGCATGGCTGCAGCAAAGTTCGTCAACCTTTCTTCTTCGTTTATTTGCTGCCATTGTTTGGAAATGTCGAGCTCCATTGTGGCGAGGAGAATATTTGCAGAAACATTATTTGGGTTCTAGTGAGAAGGACGGTTAGTGAGCAAAAAAAAAAGTGGAAATCAAAAATCTTGCATAATTTTACCAATTCGATAGCTCTATCAAACGCTGCGATTGCTTGATCAAAATTATTTAGCTTGTTATAACAAAGACCTATTCCGACACGAGGATCTGGCTCGGTGAGACTAGGATCAGCTTGCATTATTTGTTGATAAATTTTGAGTGCTGCCCTATAATCCTTGCGATGATAAAAAACACGTGCCTATAAAAAATAAAATAAAATAAACTACAAATAAAAACTTGAATCCATTCAATTACTAGTCTTTTTTTATACCTGACCAAACAGTGCCGGAATATTATTTGAAGCAAGATTTGTGGCATTTGTAAAGGCATTCATGGCCATATTTGGATCATTTCGCAAAAGGTGCAAATATCCTATTGTAAGAATTTGACAGAATATAATGGTTTGCGATTAATTTCGGTCATTAGTCTGAAGAAAGTATGGTAAATAGACGTTGCCTTTTCCAACCCAAGATATCGCATCGTGAGAACTGATCTGTGAAGCTTTATTAAAACGCTTCGTTGCTTCATTTAATAACTCGCTCTTTCGTTCATCGCTCGGGAAACGGCCATCTTGCGGATATTTGGCCATCCTAAGATTAAGACATGCTATCAAATTATTTATCTTCATATTATCTTCACTGGTTCCTTTTGCTGTTTGTTGGTTTCGAAAACAAAATGGTTTAAGTAGAATAAAAATAAACATCAAATGATCTCCAGTTAGACATTACCCTCTTTCAATCCCCGCTCTAGAACCCTAATGGCCGCCTGAGGCATCCCCCGATTTTTATTATAATGGAGCTGTAAAAAGAATAATGAATAATGCAACTAGAGTCTTGACAATATATATAAAACTTTCACCATACCGCAATAGGAATGTAATACATCATGATCGTTTTTTCATCTCTTAGAATATTACATATTTCGTCTGGATTTTCAGGTAGGTCTTCATGGAAAATGGTTATATCTTTTCCAGCTTTTGAAGGGATCACAAACGGGTTGGGTAACATCTTGGTCTTGGATAATAGAGTTTGGTCGATAATCATTAATGCAACAAAAAAGCGAATCAGTCGGTTTGTCACGTGATAGCAGAGACATATAGTTTAATTTACTGACAAAAAAAAATAATAAATACATAATTTCTCTAATTTTATCTATATCAGAGGTGCGACAAAACTTGTTTAACTATTATATTTGGAACTTGAATATAAAATTTCGTACATGCTAATAAGAGTCTTTATAAATAAGTATATTTTGCATCCTACAGAAATTTTGCCATTTCATTATATGCACGTTGTTCTTAATTTTACGTGGTTTGTGGATTTTAGCTGAGATTCATCCCGGATCGCGTAAAATCTCAAAAGTTTTTTTTTTGACTTCGGCTCTATTACACTTAATCTCGACCCTCTAAAGAAAACCGGTTATTTAGTTTCCAAACTTAACAAATAGATAAATTGTACTTTTCATCAATTTACCGTAGAATTTTTCCAAAAATCCTCGAGAACTATGAGGCAGATCAAAAGCATTGTCAAAGTATCTCATAACATGCGCCTCCATCTTCCAAAAATTCATAGTTTCTTGATACTCAGCACGACCCTTAAAGATCAAGATATCAATTACTCTTAAATCGCTGACATAACGATTTTTTTCGAATTGCTCCCGAATTTTGGCTCTAACTGCTGATGCCGGAATATCGAGCCAGTATAATTTTACTATCTTTGGAGCCTTTCTTTTTTGAATAATAAGAAACAATCTGAGTAAAGAATGTCCCTTAACAATGCTTGTTATCAGGAGAAATAGGAATTACCGCCCGTTGCCAGTCCCTATATAAATGAAGTACTCTTTGTCGCGCCTCGGGAAGTGAAACCGAAGTGGTTGTTTTAAAAGCCAGGGCCATTTTTTTTAAAAAAAAAAATATTTAAAATTTGTAGTCCTTTTATAATTACTGATTGGTCATATGACCTTAAACTAATGGTGTGATTTAATTTTCACGTTACTTCCCGTCTTGTTTTTCACTTTATAAAATCTCTGCCTAAATTATCTAGAATTTATATCAACGAGTTTGTATTCAGCAAGCACTTCAAACAATTGACAAGTTTCATATGTCGTCTACACCATTCTCCCTCATAGTTCGTGTTGATCGCGGCGAGTTATCCACAACCCCAGTTGCGAACGAATCATTACGACCGACTAACGCTGTTGATGATCACACAGACACCGTCACTTCACCAGCCACAACATCAACGGCAACGCAGACCGCCTCAAACAGTACACTCGCAGGACGTTCTTCAGCGTCATTAGAAGAAGTCGACAAAAGATGTTGGATTTGCTTTGGCGAGGAATCAGATAGTGTGGGAAAATGGGTCCGACCTTGCAAATGTTCACTAATATGTCATGAAGAATGCCTGTTAAATTGGATCACCGAGAATCAAAAGAGTACAGCGTTAAAGAAGGTGTGTTATTTTATGTTCTCAAGGCATTCTGTTTACTACCGGATCCAACATTTCACGATTTAGAGATAATTTTTCAGAGAGCATATCATTTAATTGAATTACGTATATCTCGCGAGAAAAGCTTAAATACGCGGGATATATCCATAACAAGGAATTCTAGCTTTAACCATTTTTCAAATGAATTTGGACATCTCTCATGGCTTTACTATGTTTCGCAATGATGGCTAACAATATTTCATCCATTTAATAGGTACGATGCCCTCAATGCAGGACGTTCTATCATCTTGCCGAACGAACTTCTCTTCTTTTACGCGCTTTTTCCGTTGTCGATTCTGCAATCCAATCATCAATTCCATATTTTACAATTTTTGGTGTAACCTTTGCTGTCGCTGTAACAAATATTCATTATGGGTTAGTTATCAAATACATTTAATAATTGTTAACTAAGGTAATATGCATTAAAATTTTTGAATTTATCAGCGCATATGCAGTTATCACGATGGTTGGAGTCGAAGAAGGTGAGCGACTTCTAGAAGAACCTTGGAGTTGGAGAGTTTGTGTAAATATCATTACATTTAACTCATTGTAAAAAGATTAACGAGATTTTATGCCGTACTTATTGTCGCATTTTAATTGCAGTTTACCCTCCCCCTTGTCCCTATACTACTCATATTTTCTAGGGCTCGTATTGCTGATCCGGTGATGCCGCTTATCCCTATGCTCTTTATTAGATATGATCAGTTAAGGATCACCATGCCACCTAGCCCATCCCTTACTATTTCACTTTTGCCATGGGCTAGGATTGCCTACAACTATTCTTATAATCGCCTCTTTGGTCGGCTTGAGGCGACATGGCGCCGGCAACTCGAGCCTTATAATGCTACAAGTGAGGAAAATGGGGAAAATGGTAATGAGCGACGCCGCGAAAATCAGGATGTGTTGGACCGCCTAGACAGAAGCAATGCTGGTCGTAAAATTGTTGGTGTCTTGTGTCTTCCATGTACGTAACATTCACCTATCGTACTACGTGAAAATTACATTTCGGAATTACTTATTCATTACTTTATATTGATAGTTATCTCTGCTATGGTCGGAAGGTAAACATTTTAGTTTGAACTCGTATGAGAAACCAAATAAGTTAATTCAATTATTCAAACCAAAACAATAGCTTCTTTGGTCGCTTCTCATTTATTCGTTCACGCATTCCCGACACATTCCATCGCAATATTCTTGGAGGGTGCCTGTTCATAGTGATCAAGGTTCTTTTATAATATATATTATGTTTCTTGTAATACCTATGTATTACCCCTATATATTCTAACTCATGTATTTAATTATTTAGGATATTGTCAACCTAACATATAAATATCAAAGAGCTAAACATCGGCGTTCGAGACACATTAAGAATTACGTAGAGTTCGCGCACGAAGAATCATCTAATGCTAGACAGTAGTACTACGGAGAATAAATTATCTTAAATGTGAAATATATGCATGCAAAAAGCTCAATAATCTATACACTTTCAGTTGGATTTACCTTAATATAGAAGATGATAGTTATGGGGATGCTTACTCCTAAATAATAACTTTCCCTACGAGTAGAGCGCTGCAGACAGATCATAGCCGAACACAGATCCATTCGCGTTATATATGCTATGCAGTTAATTTAATATCAAATAAGAAAATCGGGAGTTCATATTACAACATAAGTACGTATACCCCTTATATCTGTAAATTATTAATTGTAAAATCGTCGTTATCTGAATTTCAGTATGCAATTAAGTAATAAAATACTAAAGAAGTCATCTGTCAACTCATTAAACTGGAAGTGGCGCGTGTTTAGAATTGCAAAATATGACAATTGGCTCAAGTCATTAAAAAATAATTATCAGACAAGAATTTATTTAAATTTATTGCCTAGTTACCATAGGCAGATTGATTTTTGAAAAATATACTGTAGATATACGGTAACTTAATTATATAAGCTCATTTATAGATATACTGTAAATTGTTTAAAAACAAAAGATTATTTTTAGCAAGTTAAAATCTATTTACTTATTAAATCATATCATATCAATTTATTAATTCACAATTATACTATTGTGGCATATACTTATTAAAAATATCAAATATTGCAAACCAATGTTGCAATAACTTTTTTTTTTTTATCCTCTGTCAGATTAGTTATGTATGCTTTATTAAACATTTGTAAGCTGTACATATTAAATGAAATGTTAAAGCTAAATCTCTAATTAACTTACTCGTTTTGGTTGTATTATCTCTCTAAGTGTAACTTCAGGAGTGATTTATCGCTCCATTAGATGTTTAGGTGAAAATCCTTTCAACTTCTAACATCATTGTCCGCAGGTCACTACTGTAGCCCAATGTTACAATAACTTTTATATCAATTTTCTATATATATATATATATATTTATATTTATACTGTAAGTATAGTCAAAGCTTTATTGGATATATTTTATAATATAAATTATATATAAAGAAATTACTGCAATCACTAATATGACCATTAAAGTCAACCTTGAATATATTGTTGTCTCTAAAAAATGAAAACTAGTGAAAAATCACTAGTATATAAAAAATTTTATAGAAGAGAAAAAGATTAGGTATTAAAGGAATAATGAAATAGTTGATTTAAATATTATTTCCTGATAAGTGACTTATAAAAAAAAAAAATTTTTTTTGTTTAGGATATCTATTAAGATTTAAAATTTAAAAGATAATACTGAATATCCATTTATATATAATAGTAAAAATACCAATATATAATCTAATTATATTTTAAATCTCTTAATTATTCTTATATAATATTAATTATATTTCAGATATCTTTATCTAGATTTTTAAAAAATGTAGAAATCTAGTTATTGTCTTTAATAATTAAATTATGTTTTCTTATAAAAGCTCTTAAAACATTAATATGAATCATATATAAGAGTTGGATACTAATATTCAATAAAAAAAAAAGTTTTTAGAATAGATTATTGAATTACTTTCTTGAGAAGTAATAGGTAAAAAGGAAAGGAAAACTTAATTTTATTATAAATAAGAAAAGATTTAAAATAATGACACAATTCACAAACTATTGTCATTAATTCTTATTATTGAAAAGTATTATAGTAAATATTACTATTTATTACTTCATTTTCTGCTAAGCCAAGAAATAATTAAAGGAACCAGTATCTTATTTTTAAATATTTATCTATTCAATAGAGCTAAGAAAAATATATCTAACAACTAGAAATAAATAATTATATTACTAAAAATGAATATAGTATCTTATAACTTTTATTATAGTTAAATTGACTTTTTCTATAAATGATTAATAATATATATGAAATTGCATTCTATATTCACTTGTATAATAATACAAATAACTTTTAGTAAATTCCAAATTCTTATGGAACTAAAGAAATATATTTAGACTTATAAAGTAATTAATAAAAGCTTGTTTATTTCTTTTAATAATGTGAGCTCTATTTATCCAATTACAATATGAGAAACTTTGTTCTATATAAAATTTAGGATCAAATTAAAATAAGCAAAATTTCTTAGAAAAAAATTCAGAAACAAATACTATTAGAGTAAATAGGTGATAAAGAGAATAGAAAAGTTATTTTTTATTAACAGATACTTTATATTATAAAATAATGACATATTAGTTTTTCTTTCTTTTAGAACTTTTTTATCATAGGTAAGAAAGCTATTATTTGACTTTTTCAATTATTAGAAATCAAGTTTTTATTTGAAGAAAAGTATTAACAAAAAAAAAAAGAAAGGTAGTTACTAGTTGAAATTATGTCATTTGACTATTGAATTATTGTTGAATTTAATAAAATGTAATAATAAAAAGATTAACGAATCATTTATAATTGTTATTACACTAGTCGAAAAATATTTATTCGGCATAATGCCACTCATGTAACATTCGTCAAAAAAACAAATAATTCAACATATTAATGACATAAATAAATCGGCAATCTATTTCTATCATATAATTCGGCAAATAATTCGGTATAAATAAATCGTCAATCGATTTCTACTATATAATTCGGTATATAATTTAAATCGTCAATCAATTTCTACTATATAATTTGGCATTATTTGTCATATTTGCACCATTTTTACTATATATTTTGTTAAATTTTTCCTCAAAAAATCATTAGACATTCATCAAAATTTCAATTTTTGTCAAAATTCACGCATTTGCCAAATTTTTAATTATATATTATATTTACAATTTAGAGGAATTATAGCTAAATATTTGTGAGAGTCTTGCCAATTTGAGGTTCTGTATCTAAATGGAATAAATCAGCTAAAAATATTATAAATAGTGATTATGCATTCATATTTAACTGGGTAAAATTTGGTACTCCACAATTCAACATTCATATCATTTTCAGATCCAAAATAAAATCTATTTTCTGCTGAATTAACTGGTTTATATCACCGAATAAAGGCCAAATAATGTTCAATAACATTATTCAGAAAGTTTAACGAATGTATAAAGAAGAATTGAACTTGTCCCGAATATAAATCGATACTTTCATCGTGATTCACGAATCTAACTAATATAAATGAGTCCTTAATATTTCATGAGGACATAACAGAATCGAATATTTTACTCCCAATTCAGCATCTACCATATTGATCTGCTCTATTCTAAATAATTATTGAATTTTCATTATCTTTCGTAAATGGCTTCCGAAAGTCCATGGTTTCATAAGATGCCTTATAGTATTTGACTAATAAATCTAATATTTCGGTAGATACCTCTAAATTTAGTTTTTTCGGGTGCAAGAGTTCACCTGGAAAATATTCGGATCCATTGATTATTGTTTCGTGAATATTATATGTGTTGTTTAAAAATCATATAATTTGACAACTGAAAACTAATCTAGTTTGGAAATTGAGCTGATATTTGGTTGATTATTTAAAATTTTAATCTCCTGGTTATTAGTATAGGTAATGATGGGTCCCTAAAGTATTTAGCATATAAAATTTCGCAAATCACTTATGTCCTTTTTTGAGAAACAAAATTCATAACTCTTCATTTTAATAGGAACAAAAGTCAGAAAATGCTATAAATCAATGATTTAGATAATGAAGAACAATTGTGAATAGTTTTTTTATAGTTATTAATTTAAAAATTTTAATGTTTCCTAGTAAGGGACATTTGAATTATGTCCTTTCCTCCCCTTTTATAGACCCATCTTTATCTACAATATTATTATTTTGAATTTTTTTTTTTATTAAAATTCTTTAATTTAGAATAATCTATTATTAAATTTTTTCTTACATATTTTAATATTATTGCTTTTGCATTTTTTAATTTTTTCTCACTTCTTCTTCAATTTTTTTAACATTTTTAAATGTTCTATACTTTTGTTTTTCTAATTTTACAGCTTCTTTTTTTTTTTTTTGTTTTTTTTTTTTTTTTTTTACAAAATTTCTATAATATTTCTATTAAATCTACTTGAGTAAAAGATTCAGTAAAGAATTTATCTTGAATTAATTAAGATTTATCTTAGTTTCATTTACAGGTTCAGGATTAATATCCATAATATATTAAGTTAAATAAAATATTATTTAGATTTTGAAAATTTTTATTTTTAAAAAAAATTAATATTTTTTTTAGTTTTAAATATTTTACTTATAATATGATTATATTTCAAAATATTTTTTATTTTTTAAAATATTTTAATTTTTTTTTAAAAAAAATAATTTAATTAATTTAATATTAATAAAATAATCTTGAATAAAATTTAAAAAATTTTTCATTTACCTTTAATAAAAATATAAATTTATTAACCAAAATAATAAAAAAAACTTTTTTATCTATAAAAAAAATAATAATAAATATTTGTTTGATTTATATAATAAAAAAATTATATATGAAAAAAAATTGAATAATATTTTATTTATTATATAAAATTCAATTCAATTATATAATTTTATCAATTAATAATTTAATAATTTAATAATTGAATTAAATAACTTTTAATTTGAAAAATAATTTGAAATTAATTTATTTATAATTAATAAAATAAATATCTTTATTTTTATTAAAAATTTTTTATTTATATATAATAAAATATATTTCAAAAAATTAAGAAATGATTAAAAAAAATATAATAAATAAACTAAGATAATAAATTTTATATTTGTTATATAATAATTTAATTATTAATTAAATAAATAATTATATAATCATTAATTAAATAAATAATTAT